GGTTGCAAAAGGACCAAATTGACATTTTTCGTGCAGTTGAGAATTTCACGTATGTGAAAAAAGTTGTATTTTCCTGAAATTCTACAGTAAAATATCACAAGATATCAAATGATTGATTATTTTATCAATTGATTTTGACCATTCATACAGAGAAGTTATCGCAAAAAGTGATTTGGTGTAGCCAAAATTGTGTGAGGAAATGATAACGAGTTCTAATGAGGCCTTGAAAAGTAAGGGAAAAGGAATGACTCTCAATGGACCAACTATTATATTTTCTACTTTTCATGTCTCTAACATGACCTAGACCATGTGTGTGTGTGTGTGTGTGTATGTGTATGAGAGCATTAACTGCTACTTGCCTCTAACATGGAGCACTGCACAAAGCTCCCTGCAGTGCCAGGTATATTCCTTAACATATCGGAATTATATTCGGCGTAGGAAATCCAGAAATTTAGGCGAGTAATATCACTTTTATTGGAAATTATGTTGATGAGAAAGATAAGAAAAAGTACTGCGATGGTGAAGCAGATATTTTACACATGTATATATGTAATGACAATAAATGTGTTACATTTGCATACGTGTAATAACTACATAGTGACAGACCCCATATATGAGTCTAAATATGTTACATGTATGTAACATATATGTTACATGTATGTAACATATATGTTACATATATATATGAATTGACTACAAAATTATTTCAAATCTGTCATAGAAGTTTAATTGATAACTCTCTGTAACTTACATCTTTTATAACTAATCCTGGTGAGTTATAACTCTCTTTGTGCGTTATAATTTTCCGCTGAAGGACGACACTTGGTTATCTTACAAACAAAAAGATAAAGTATGTATTCGACAAACGTAACAGTCGAAGATCTAATTATTGGATATAGAAGATTCATTATAGTGTCATTAGTCTAATATTCTTTATTCTGCTCTATTGACGGTCTTGAAATATTCAAAACAACATTAATGTGTCACAAGTAGTTGAAGAAATTTGTTAAAAATATAAAGTTAAGATCTGTGTCATTATTTAGAATGACAGAAAAATACATAATGTTATTTTGAATATACATTTAGAACAGGAAAACAGTGTGTTCTGGAACTGTTTCAGTTCAGGACAAATTTATGAATTACTGGGTAACTTAATAGAGGTGAGATCCTTGGATTGTTTCAAGCGTAGGTTAGACATAAAAAGTAGATAAAAGTAGGAGCTGCCTCATATAGGCCAATATAGGCCTTGGTTGTTGACCATATTATGTTATTTATTTAGCTTGTGGCAATTACAGAGTTTTTCAGTTGTATAAGGAGGCTAGAGAGAGTGTGTGTATAGGTATTTGACGTATAAGGAAGAGCTTGGGGACAGTGTATTAGTATATGAGGTATAAGAATGTCCGAAAAATTATTGGTCGCGAATATAAGTCAATGAGCAGGAGGAACGAATTATATATTTATAAGAAAAGGTGGGTATATGAACCTACCTCATATTATAGGAGGTGGATTTATGAAATTATATGAGATGGGTATGGAACTAATTGTGATTTACGAGAACTATAAAAAGAGAGAAAGCTGAAGAAATGCGTTGTGTAATTACGCATTTATTAATCAGTGTAATTAGTATGTAATGAGGAGCAACTGTACCTACCTACCTGAAATTTAGAGGTACTGAAATACGGGTTTTAGATCTCGCTTCTGAACCTTTTTGTCGAGTGTTGAACAGGTTCCCGAGTCTGGCCTCACATAGAGCTCTTTATAGAGTTTGCCCTCTCATGGGGCTGTTAATAGAGTCTGGCCTCACATAGAGCTGTTTATAGAGTCTGGCCTCACATAGAGCTCTTTATGGAGTCTGGCTTCACATAGAGCTCTTTATAGAGTCTGGCCTCACATGGAGCTGTTAATAGAGTCTGCCTCTACACTTCGAATTCAGTGTATTCAGTTTCTTCACTTCTCTAACACAAATTTTTCTTTATTCAATTTCTGATTCATTAGGGTACAATTTTGTTTTCCACCTGTGTCGTTTGATTCGTTTAATACGCATGACAAATGGTATGTTTTTGTCTGATCTTAAGACAAATATATCTCTGAATATTTTGCATGTGGTGATCATGTTTTTTTCCTCTCCTCAGGTGACGTGAACTAATTCTTTTAGACTCTCTTAGCAACTAAAACCACTTACCTCTGGGGCTAATCTGTTGGCACACGATTGAACATTTTAAACCTTTGTTTTGAGGATGAAGGGAAATAGGATTCGACACCTTGTTCGTAGTTCTGAAGGCAGTTCTATAGTTGGGGGTGTCTTTCGAGAGCGTCTGGTAGTATGTTCTGCATGGTGACAACACTGGGGGCTAGATTCACGAAGCAGTTACACAAATACTTACGAACCTGGGGCTAGATTCATGAAGCAGTTACGCAAGTACTTACGAACCTGGGGCTAGATTCACGGAGCAGTTACGCAAGTACTTACGAACCTGGGGGCTAGATTCACGGAGCAGTTACGCAAGTACTTACGAACCTGGGGCTAGATTCACGAAGCAGTTACGCAAGTACTTACGAACCTGGGGCTAGATTCACGAAGCAGTTACACAAGTACTTACGAACCTGGGGCTAGATTCACGGAGCAGTTACGCAAGTACTTACGAACCTGGGGCTAGATTCACGGAGCAGTTACGCAAGCACTTACGAACCTGGGGCTAGATTCACGGAGCAGTTACGCAAGCACTTACGAACCTGGGGCTGGATTCACGAAGCAGTTACACAAGTACTTACGAACCTGGGGCTAGATTCACGAAGCAGTTACGCAAGTACTTACGAACCTGGGGCTAGATTCACGAAGCAGTTACACAAGTACTTACGAACCTGGAGGCTAGATTCACGGAGCAGTTACGCAAGTACTTACGAACCTGGGGCTAGATTCACGAAGCAGTTATGCAAGTACTTACGAACCTGGGGCTAGATTCACGAAGCAGTTACGCAAGTACTTACGAACCTGGGGCTAGATTCACGAAGCAGTTACACAAGTACTTACGAACCTGGGGCTAGATTCACGGAGCAGTTACACAAGTACTTACGAACCTGGGGCTAGATTCACGAAGCAGTTATGCAAGTACTTACGAACCTGGGGCTAGATTCACGAAGCAGTTACGCAAGTACTTACGAACCTGGGGCTAGATTCACGGAGCAGTTACGCAAGTACTTACGAACCTGGGGCTAGATTCACGAAGCAGTTACGCAAGTACTTACGAACCTGGGGCTAGATTCACGGAGCAGTTACGCAAGTACTTACAAACCTGGGGCTAGATTCACGAAGCAGTTGCGCAAGTACTTACGAACCTAGGGCTAGATTCACGAAGCAGTTACGCAAGTACTTACGAACCTAGGGCTAGATTCACGAAGCAGTTACGCAAGCACTTACGAACCTGGGGCTAGATTCACGGAGCAGTTACGCAAACACTTACGAACGTGTACATCTTTCCTTAAACTTTGACGACTTTGGTTAAATTTATTAAACATTTTACAAGCATGAGAACTTCCCAATTAAATGTTGTTATTGTTATAAACAGCCTCCTGGTGCTTCGGAGCTCATTAACTGTTTAATAATTGTAAACAAAGCCGCCAAAGACTGAGATCAGATGTACAGGTTCGTAAGTGCTTGAGTAACTGCTTCGTGAATCCTACCCCAGGTCTTGAAATTGGTCGACTTCAAGAGTGTTTCATGCCAATTTTGTAATTTAGGGTCAGGCTTCTTGTTCCTATAACCCAACCTCATTATAATGTACTTGCTGAAGTTCCTTGCTGTTTTTACCTTTTAATTTATGCAGTTTTTCTGTAATTTTATTTCAAGTCATATCTACAGTGCAACATATGTTCTTGTGTTGCGTAGCGAAGGCGCTTCAATGTGTTGTACTATCCTTTGTATTATAGCATTTTCCTTGCTATACACAGAGTACTCGTGATATATCTAAGAGACTAGAGCGTGCAGCTGGGAACACCCAGTGGGCAGGTTCGAATCCTCATCACGGTTTCTGTGTATTTTATCATTGTCCTTACTTGCATGGTATGTAAATTAGGTGTGTAGTTTATCTTCTTCCATTTCTTTCTCCTTTTGTACATTGACACTGAATTGGCTGTCATCTAACTTTCTGGTAGCTTTCCGGATCCTAGTAAACTGTTATGTATCGTAAGCGGCCAGAAGAATGTCTTCCACTCCAGTTCTCAGTATGCTAAATGAGTTACTGTTTAGTGAGAAAAATCTTCCTTCTCAATTCAGATCCTTCCCATTCCTCTGTTAAATAGATCTCCAAGACTCTCGCTTTGAGAGAGTCTTGGAGATCTATAGAGTTCTTTGGAGATCTATAGAGATCTTTGATAGAGTTTCACGCACATCTCCCTGTCATTCTCTGTGAATGAGACCTTTCGTGTTCTCAGTTTAATTTTCTGACAATTTATGCTGTTTTCCTTCTCACTTGATTCTAAAGCTTCTTGAACTGGCTCCTGCCCCATATGCTACGTTATTTAAAATACATGTTTTACACTTCTCATTATAATGTACTCGGCTTAAGCCATGTGGTTCTTCCTTCTGATCAGTTATTCATATAGTTCCTGTTGTGTCTTTTGCCATAGTGTCTATAAGTACTGGTTATTTGCCTCTTGATTAAAACAGGTGTTTCGGAGCTCATTAACTGTTTAATAATTGTAAACAAAGCCGCTAAAGATTGATAAAAGATGTACAGGTTCGTAAGTACTTGCGTAACTGCTTCATGAATCTGGCCACCAGGTGTTGGAAACCTGATCCAAATGTATATGGGAGGATAATGGTTGTGGTGAGCCTAATGGAGATGTGGTTAGGATAATGGATAAACAATTCAAAACTTAAATTAGAATCGATAACTATAGACAAGGGAGTGTGAGGGGGTGAGATGTAATGTGCATAGAGTGATAGAACGAGTCTTATGAAGATAGTTCTGGCAGGGAGAGATGATGTGCCTGGCCTTATCCCCCAGTGGTTGGGTGCTAGGGATTTTTACCCCAGTGGTTGGGTGCTAGGGATTTTTACCCCAGTGGTTGGGTGCTAGGGATTTTTACCCCAGTGGTTGGGTGCTAGGGATTTTTACCCCAGTGGTTGGGTGCTAGGGATTTTTACCCCAGTGGTTGGGTGCTAGGGATTTTTACCCCGGTGGCTGGGTGCCTGAGTTAAACACAGCTGCCGAGTACCAGGACTCAGCTCAGCTCTAAGGAGTCAGAGCTTAACACAGCTGCACTGTGTCGTGTCGCCTGAGGAAGAGTTCCGGTCAAGGGCGAAAGAAATCGATCTTAAGTCAAATAATTAATTACACGGGATTTCTGGAAGAGGTATACTTCGTGGAATACCGAGTTTGAGGGAATTTACAAATATTTCGCTGTACTGAGCGCTAGAGAGAGCCGGTATAAATAGTTTTGCTAGCTGGTCGTAAGACGAATATCTGGCGAGATACAGATCTTACAGGTGGAAGAGGATTAATGGGGTCCCGCTGGATAAATAGCCCACGCGAGTATTAGGAATATAGCCAGAATTGTAGCAGCTTCTATAGCTATGACTAAAGCATATGACTCTGATTGTGACGAAAATCATGGTTGGGGTTGGTGATGATATGTTTGGCGAGGTAGGTGATGACCGTGGTTGTGTTCGTATTAAGAGTTTTAGCGAGGTTAAGAGCCTGAGTGAACCGATCAAAACATTGGGATATTAAAAGTGTGGTTGACAGGGATGAGGCGACCACAATGGGGGTGAGGAGGCCGTCTGTCTACCGGATTGAGACGATTACACTAGAGGTGAGGAGGCCGTCCGTCTACCGGATTGTAGCCACCACACTAGGGGTGAGGAGGCCGTCCATTTACCGGATTGAGACGACCACACTAGGGGGCGAGGAGTCCTTCCGTATACCGGATTATGGCCACCACACTAGGGGGCGAGGAGGCCGTCCGTATACCGGATTATGGCCACCACACTAGGGGGCGAGGAGGCCGTCCGTATACCGGATTGTGGCCACCACACTAGGGGGCGAGGAGGCCGTCCGTATACCGGATTGTGGCCACCACACTAGGGGCGAGGAAGCCGTCCATCTCCCGGATTGTGTTGGGGGCTTAAGACGACGTGGGTGTTGCCGTGGCCGTGACCAAGGCGGAGGCGAGGGCGGGCGCTACAGGAGAGTAAGACCCCGACGGGTAGGATCGAGAGCCAGCAGCTTGCATGAAGGATGTGTTGAGGGTGGAGACGACGGGCGTCACTATGATCTGTGGAGGAAGATTATATCAGTCATACACGTCCATCACACAATGTTTTTATATATATATAGTGTGTGTGTGTGTGTGTGTGTGTGTGTGTGTGTGTGTGTGTGTGTGTGTGTGTGTGTGTGTGTGTGTGTGTGTGTGTGTGTGTGTGTGTGTGTGTGTGTGTGTGTGTGTGTGTGTGTGTGTGTGTGTGTAAATCACGAAAATTTACACGTGATGAAAAATGTGGCCCCTTACTGGTATAAATCTAACGTGCCTTGTATTTTCTTATCACTTGAGAATGAACCATGTTGGTTCGAAACGTTGTGTAAATTTTATAATAAGTGTAATACATTTTACAGTTATTTATTTCTTGTTCTTCACCTCGAACAAAGATGACCTTTGGAAAACTCCTTTTCCAATTAAATCAAGATACTAGAACACTAGTCAGAGGGATAGAAGCCCTAAACAAGAAAATAATCAATATAGAATATGCAGTCATATTCAATGAAACATGTATATATATTATATATATATATATATATATATATATATATATATATATATATATATATATATATATATATATATATATATATATGTATGTATGTATGTATTTACTTAAACAGTTACCTCAAATACGAATATTAATAAATATAATGTAATTTTCTAATAAAGCAAAAGTTTACCAGAGAAACTCGAACTGCAAGAATGCGTTATCTCTCAGGCAACTCTGGATGCTTTGCAGTTTTCATCAGTTCCCCCAAACAGATGGCTTAAGTCCAACCCTTGATAACCCTATTTTTCAAACATTTCAAATGGGGTTGGAATGCACCAAACATTTCCCCTGTAATCAAAACACACACACACACGCGAAACTGACTTCTCTTACACATGCGCAGTAGGCAGCAATAAAATTAAATCACTTGATAGCTGGTTATTATAGGATAAGGTCAGGGGGCCATGTGGTGCCCCCTTACTCAGACACTAATGGTTAACGACAGAGGGTGTCTCTTCTGATTAGTAGGCACCTTGAGTGTGGCTACATCTCTGCTGTTATCAAGGACCTCCCTTTAACCCGTCTTAGTGATTCGTAGTTAATGCTTTCTGGCAATAAATGAGGCTTGATATCAGTAACTGTTTCATTACACACAGAAATCACAATAGCGTCATGCATCAAAGGAACAAATCTGGTTGCAAGTCTTTTTGACCATGTCGTAGCTCAGTCGATTAAGGCAGCGTCTGGGATGCTCTCGGACGTAGGTTCGAATCCTCGTCACGACCCTTGTGGATTTGTTCAATAACTGTTGATATCAAGCGATAATTCAGGCTTACCATCAGGTACTGATGATTCCAGTTGATAATTGATAATTCCTGTCAATAACTGATGATTAAAATATATAATAAATTTATTTCTTCAATCGATAATATTCTAACTTCAAGCATTAATTGATGATTGCAATAAATAAATCAAGTTTGCATTCAATAATTGAGGCTTTCAATCAAAAACAGATTATTCCAATCAATGCTTCATAATTTCAGTCAATACTTGACCCTTCCAATCAATGCTTAATGATTTTAATCAATGATTGAAACATGTAATCACCAATTGATGATTCAAATCAATAATTGATGACTCCAATCAATAATTGATAATTACAATCAATAATTGAGTCTCATACTCAATAACTATGCCTTTAAATCAATAAGTGAGACCTTCAATCAATAAATGAAAACTGTAATATATAACTACACCTTAAAATCAATAACCTGGGATTGGAATCAATAATTGTAGCTTACATTCAACAATTTAGGACTTAATTAATAATGTTAAATTGACATCAATAATTGAGTATTTCAATCAATAATTGAGAATTTTAATCAATGGGGTAGGATTGCAATTATTAATTAAGCTTTCTATGCACTAAAACTGCAGCTTCAACTTTTAATTGAGGTCTATAATTAATAGTTTGGGGTTGCAATAATTGATTGATCTTTGGTATAAATATTTGCAAAATATCACCACTTACCAAGTCAATTTGCTAAGGAAAATGAAGTAGGAATGAAAAGATTACTTAAATAATATTTCAGTAGCGATAAACTAAGCTTGTTATCAAATGCTGTTGCATGAGAGATGAAATATGTAAATATATTGAAGTTGCAAACCCTATTTTGATATTTGCATACTGTGTGTGGTATTTAACATATTTCACTGCTAATAACCCTGTCAGCTATGTACTACGGTTCGTGCACGACGATGCAACAATGTGTTGGTAAACATTCACTTGCGACATAATACAACCATGTGTTGTCACTATACACATGCACTATGACACATTAATGCGTTGGTCAACATTATCATGGCGTCTTTAAAGTCATCACATGCACAGATACAGAAGGAGAATGTGGGTTTTTACGAACATAAATCACAATAGCGTGATGCATCAAGTGAACAAATCCACATGGGCCGTGATGAGGTTTCGAACTTACGTCCTAGAGGATCCCAGACTGCGCCTTAATCGACTGTGCAACGACATGGTTAAAAGAATTGCAACCGGGAGTTGAACTACCCTGACACGGATCCTGCAGTCTCTCTCTCGTCACGGCCCTTGTGGATTTGTTCATTTGATGCATCACGCTATTGTCATTTCTGTATGTAATGAAGTAAGGGCGAAGAGGGAGAACAGCTAATTGACAGAGCCCGGGTGCATGGGGGGGAAATTGTGTAAAACCTTGGTTTGTGTCTCGGAGAGGCTGGAGGATCCGTGTGAGGTCAGACTGATAATCTAACAAGTGATGAGTATATGTGGGATATCATATCATCTACACTACTGTGGGATAACCCCTTACATTAACCCTTACAGGAAGATAACAAGTTTGATTCATTTGCTACTGTCACATCACGAAATAATTCGTGTTTATACATGAAAAACACAAATTGGACACCGTTTACAAATAGTTCTAAATAATTATTGGTTGAGCCAATTCTCTCACCATTGATCACTCACCATATGGTGCTGAGAGAACCACAAATCACCGGCGAATTAATTAATCAAATAATAAATGACTTTATTTACTGAATTCAAACCCGATAAAAACTACCAGTTACTGTATATAAGTATATGGTCAGGAGGCTCTGAATCGTGTTGTTTTTTGTTTTTTGTGTAGAGCTTAAAACACTAAGAATGTTTTTATTAATTCTATTAAGACAGGTAGACACAGGCTGATGTGTATTATTTTGATGGGAGTATCTTATCTTGAGGTTATCTTGAGATGATTTCAGGGCTTAGCGTCCCCGCGGCCCTGTCCTCGACCAGGCCTCTTTTTTGTTACACATCCCCAGGAAGCAGCCAGTAGCAGCTGTCTAACTCCCAGGTACCTATTTACTGCTAGGTGAATCGGAGGCATCAGGGTGAAAGAAACTCTGCCCATTTGTTTCCACCTCCACCGGAGATTGAACCCGGAACCTTAGGACTACGAGTCCCGAGCGCTATTCACTCAGCTGTCAGGCCCCAGTAAGTAGATTAGTTCTAACCTATTTGTGCAGGCGAGGAGTCACAATAACGTGGCTAAAGTATGTTGACCAGACCACACACTAGAAGGTGAAGGGACGACGACGTTTCGGTCCGTCCTGGACCACCTGGAGATCACCATGGGGGACAGGTCACCATCGCTGAGACCATGGGAGATCACCATAAGTGTCACAGCAAATTGTAGTTCCAAGTGTCCCAGTGGTCAAAATTGTCGTTCCAAGTGTCCCAGTGAACAAAACTGTCGTTCCAAGTAGCTTCAGTGGACAAAACTGTCGTTCCAAGTATCCCAGTGGACAAAATTGTCGTTCCAAGTGGCTTCAGTGGACAAAACTGTCGTTCCAAGTATCCCAGTGGACAAAATTGTCGTTCCAAGTGGCTTCAGTGGACAGTATTCACTGAAACTCCACAGTAATGTTGAAATCTTTTTATAATTTATATGAGTGGTTTATGGTGGACAGGAATATTGTTAGTGTGGTTGTGTTGGTGGGCGTGGGTGGGGGAGGGGTCTGTTGGTGGGCGTGGGGCGGTCTGCTGGTGGGCGTAGGCGGTCTTGACACATTCCAAATATTTACAATCTTAGATTCCAATATTGTAAACAACTTATAAATGTCTTTTACCACTGAGACACCCTCTGACAACGTCTGTCATGAGCATTCTCCAGAGAAGTATTTTTCATTCAGTCTATACATTTCAGTGCACCAAATTACATTGCAAAGTCGTTCGTCTGAACGTGATTACTGCAGATTGTAAACTGAGGATAAGAGTAGTTACAATCAGACAATCACATACTTCCTTGCGTTATTTTGAAACATATTCAATAAAGGTAGTTTTTCATTTCATTTCAAGAGTTTTATATATTTTTTTAGCTATGTTTATGCCGTGTTTACAAAGTTTGAGTGAGACTCCTGTATCTTTAAAAGAGATTCTAAAGCCAACCATCGCTGTGTCGCAGAGTCCGCGAGGCCGTAAATGTGGCACAGCGTGAGGAGGAGGAGGAGGTGTCTGGAGGAGCTGTGGAGAGGGAGGCGTCGGCTGGAGTGGAACAGAATCTTTTACTACCAGTGCCAGACATCCTCTTAGGTGCCTTGAGTGTGTTCTTGCTGCTCGTGTTCTACCCTTCGTGCTGTGTTCTCGTGATGTGTTTTCGTGATGTGCTCTCGTGCTGTGCTCTCGTGCTGTGCTCTCGTGCTGTGCTCTCGTGATGTGCTCTCGTGCTGTGCTGTCATGTTCTGTTCTGTTCCTCTTTTTTGTTCTTCTATTTGCCCGAAACGCAAGCCACGTGCTAGTGGCTTTACAAGATTGTAAAATCAACATCATTCCTATGTTCTCTCTTCACCTCTGGAGGGAGCTGGTCGGCCGAGCGGACAGCACGCTGGACTTGTGATCCTGTGGTCCTGGGTTCGATCCCAGGCGCCGGCGAGAAAAAATGGGCAGAGTTTCTTTCACCCTATGCCCCTGTTACCTAGCAATAAATTAGGTACCTGGGTGTTA